CTTGCCATCTTTGTAGTCATGATCCAGAAGTGTGGGGCTGCCCCAGGCTCTGGGAAATACCCGTGGAGACTCTGGCAGACTAGACCTGGGGAAGTGGCTAACTCTGCATTCACTAAGAGTCTAATTACCATGTTAGCTATTCCAGAACTATATGTACACTCTGGGTAGAATGTTAGAGCTTACATAAAAAAATGAAACAAAACCTATTCTTTACTAATTAGAAAATGAGAAGCTATTAATTTTGAATGGGAGTCAATTCTTTAAAAAGAACAGAATAAACTGACACAAATGAACCATGAAGTAGTATTTTTTTTGCCAGAGAAAACAGTTGTGACAGCATGAAGGGGTGTGCCCACCCACAGGGAGCACTGAACTGTTCATAGGGTTGGTGCTCAGCTTGCTGGGTGTAGTTTACAATCCGCAGCAAACAGAAGTGGGTCCTGTGGTTTTTAAAGCTATGTATCTTCTGCAACTCTTGCCCACAAATGTAATCAACACATTGATTATTTTGGTTGATTTTATAGTTTCAGAAAGGAGCGCTAATGTATTTTAGATGTTTCTAAACCCTGATAGTAATAAATAGACATATAGAGAGGATTTTATGTGTGATCATTTATGAAGTACCTGGATATCATTTAAAATGCCTTGGGTAGTAAAGACAGAAAACACTCGAAGCAGAGCGTAGAAATCTTTCTCTCTTTCTTTCTAGATTGACTTATCTATCCTCTACCTGCATATCTATCATCTATCTATCTATCTGACCTATCATATATACATATGCACATATCTGCGTCTATCATCTCTATATACATATATATATATACATGTGTATCTATATCTATCTATTATCATCTCTCTATATATTTATATATATAGAGAAAGAGAGGTAGATAAATGCAAATATACATATAGATATAGATCTCAAGAGGCTCCTCCATTCTAAGACTTTGGTAATTAAGACTAAATCAGACCTCAGAGTTGCTTAGCAACAGTTTCTTTACCATTCATGACCTCTTTATTCTCGTGTAAACATATGTTTATCAATCTTTGTAGGAAAACCTGGTTTTAGTAAACCAAGTAACAAGCATAAATGTTAGTACTTTTTTATGTAATTAGCACAAACAAGTGGCACACTTACAATTGCATTTCTTCTGCACAAATCTCAGCTTGCATGCTGTTCTGTAGGTGGAGAGTCGGATGCGATCCAGATCTTGAGCCCCTAGTATGGGAAAAAGGATATACATATGGTATGCCATTTGTATAGATAGGAGCTTGTAACGTTTGTAAATAAAACACCTGCAGATATAATCCATATGCTTATTGGTACTTTTGTTGAAATATAAATATTAGTTTAAGACTCAGAAAGGTCTATCCAATATTCAAGTTCCCAGGGAAGAGAGCTCTGGTGTTCAACAGGACTGCCAACCATGATCATGGACCAAGGAAAATCACCTCTCCCTGCTGTGTCTCCCACTTCCTAGAACAATATACTCAAGCTGTAACTTGAGTAACAGCAAGATGAGATCAGAAATGATCACTGAATAAATGAGCTTTTAAATTCATCATTGTTGTCATTAGAACACAGCTGCTAGTGACAACACATTGGATATTGAGTATTTTCTCTGTGAGACCTTCAACCAAGTGCTTTAGGAAACCTCAGCTTTCCCACTAACAAGGGCAGAATAATGATACAGTGGCTATTTCTCATGATTTCTGTAAGGGCAAATGAAGGAGCACTTCTAATGTTCTAGTGGAAGAATTCTCTATTTGTATTAATGTATATCTTGAGACCTCAGAAGGAGACTCCTTTCCAAAACCAACTTATGCTCTTATTATATGGCCTCCAGGTCCACCCTGGCTTTGGAGGAACATGTCCCAACATTCTTACTGCTGTCCTTATTCTACTCTTCCATTCAGGAAATCATCATGACTCTTGATGACAAGATACCAGTTCTGAAAACCTTGCTCAGAGTCCAAGTCTCACCACTGTTTTATCATCTTACCCTCCCAGTAATATTTCCTACCAGCCCATCTAGAGCCCTACTGGGCTTGGGATGGCCCCTCATAGCCCACTAAGTTTCTTTGTCCCTCTTACCCACCCCAAATGGGCCAATTGCTAGGCCATCTCCCAAATAAGCAAGACTCTAAACAGATGTCTGCTTTTAAGCATTTTGTTTTTCACAACTGAAACAAAAGCACAAAGCTATATTTGGACATGTCTTGGAGTTTTTTCTTCATGAATGGTGCCCACATATAACTGCTATACAAATGCTTGAGAATGGAACAGCAGGTATATGGACTCTTTTGGAAGCATGGGGACTAGCTCATGAATTTTTTTTCTCAAAGAATCAGGATGGCTTTGTATGGTACCCACCACTGATGGAGTTCCACTCTTCCTTGACTATTTAGAGTCACTTGACCTATTGTTGTCTACTATTCAGTTACTGGATTGTTAAGGTCAATCACTAACCGCTCATTCTTAAAATTGTATTGCTTGACAAACAGGCTTCTTGATACCATGGTGATATCTACTCAGTACAGGATTTCCAATAAAAATATTCTTAGGAAATGGACATTCAACCAATGGTCACGTAGGATTATTTACAAGAAAAGGAAAATCAGAATTTAGTAAAATTATGTATTTTTCTGCCTTTAATAATTAATTATATAACTTATTTGTGTGAACTTCAGCAAGTTTTTAC